TAACATTGCACCCAGTTTTAATTGGGGTTGTTTTCCTTTTTGCCCGTGTAGATTAAAAGGTTGACCTTGGTGTACCATCAATACTGGACTCCATCTGGACTCTCACTCCGGATGGCTGCAGGGCTCATCACAACACTTCCAATGAGGATCAATGAAAGCCCACATTGTAAATGGGGCATGTAAATTGGAGACATTATACAGTCGTCAATCAGCAACTAAATATTGTCAAACATTTGATCCTGATCATTTTGCACCAACTTAAGGCTTGGAATTCCTTGAATGAATGCACTTCACCTGCCACCTTTTGTGCCAAAGTTTTGGAATAAGTTGTCTTATGATGAGAAGAGACAGAGTTGTAGATGGGCTGATCAGATCTTAAAAAGAAAGTTATATGTCACGCTCATGGGATGTATTGGGAATGAATTAATTTTAGTTTCTCTCCATTGGCTCCCTGTCAAATCCAGAATTTAATTCAAAATCTTACTTCTAACCTACAAAGCTCTCAACAACCTAGCTCCATCTTATATTCGAGACTGTATTGTTCCATATTTTCCTAACAGAGAACTTCACTCTCAGACTGCAGGTTTACTTGTGGTTCCTAGAGTTTCCAAGAGAAGAATGGGAGGAAGATCTTTCAGTTATCAGGCTCCTCTCATGTGGAACCAACTTCCAGTTTCTGTCTGAGAGGATGACACATTGTTCAGTTTTAAGACTTTCCTTTTTGATAAATCCTATTGTTAGGGTTGACTTGTTATGCTGCTGTAAGCTTAGACTACTAGAGGACAACTGAACTCATTTCATAAAATGAATTCTGGTAGTTACAAATGAATAATTAGCATTTTAAATTATTTCCATATTAATGTGAGCTTTTTATGTTTCCTCCTAGAGAAAATTATGCTCGCTTCCATTCTGGATCTGCCATTGTGTATCTGTTCCTCTTTCCTGTTTCTCTCAAACCCAGCCAGTCGAAGCAGATGGCCGCTTGTCCTGAGCTGGTTCTGCTAAAGGTTTCTTCTTCATGAGGGAGTTTTTTCTTTCCACTGTCACTTTCATGCTTGCTCAAGATGGGAAGACTATGATGAAGTTAAACTCAAAGCAGTCTGCTCCTCAGATAAATAGTGTTAAATTATTTTATATATATGAATGTTTCTGTTCAATGCCCTGAGACGACTTCTATTGTGACTTGGCGTTATATAAATATAATGCCAAGTTATATTTATATAACTGAATATATTATTTATAGTTATTTATATAACTTAATAAAATGAACTGAAACTGAATTGACTCAAATACTTGCACGTCAAATTTAAGCTCAGTAGCTGTAAAATAACTCTTACACTCCTTAATTTATTAGTTAATGTTGATTAGTTTTGGTCACCATCTTGAATTGAATGTACTTCAAAAATGATTTTCTGAAAATATAATTGAAATTGTTTCTGTGGTTTGAGTAATTAGCTCCTGCGAGCTTTTTAAAAACTGGGTTCAGTTTGTTTTGACCGACCTTCCTACAAAACTTTTGCAGTTAGCTTTGACAAAGGCCACTAAGTAAATAAATATTTTGAAACCATTCTCAATAAAGTGGCTGTCATGGTGCTGTTATGGCTTGTGTTGTGTGTCTCCTTTCTGGCAAGGATGTGAGATCATTAATCTTGTCAGAATTATTCTAATTCTCAACACATCCACAACAGGTAAGATATTACTTGTTTATAACACAAATTTGACATCTTAAAAAGGAACTGTCAGCAACTCCATCAAACACCAAATTGGTCATCACTAATTGGCAGCAAGGCTCCAAACGGTGTCAAAACACCGTTTCTCCTGCCAAATTGCCTCCACCAGATGTAAAAGAAATTAAAAAGTAGGTTGACTTTATGGATTTATGCTTTTGACACCATTGCTCAGGAACAATTTATGAACTCATCAATATATCAAAGCAGGACATATTTTTCCAGCCTTCAGCTGTTCAGTTTCAGAGTTGTAGATTATTCTGTTTTGTTGGGGAAACAAATATGTTCGTGTACTCCTGGACTCCATGCACTTTGTTTATTGGACACAACGAGCATTCCTGAGACTCTTAAAAGTCTGCAAAGACAGAGTTATCATAAACCATTTGCCAAGTGGAACTAGTCATTTTTCTCTTGTGCTCACAGCATCTCTGCCAGCCAGACTGCAGCTCGCTGGATTATTTTTTCCCCCTCTTTCCTAAATAATTTCTACAGGCTGTTGTAAGAGGATAGAAATACTTAAACCAGCCAATCTGTTACCTACGTCATACCACAGTTAAAGTCTATCTACTTGATTTTGTGCATTGTGCTGCTGCCACAAGATTGGCTGTTTGGATAATTGCACAAATAAGCAGGTGCACAGGTGTCCGTGCAGGGCGACAGTCTCCCTCAGTCAGGCACCAGGACAGCCCTTTTGGCAGTGGTTTCACCTGACAGAAGTACAGAAGGTGGTCAGCCTCTAACTGATCTGATACAGCACTTTAATTGAAACTATCACTCACAACCACAGCATTCTGGTCCTCCTTTTCTGATTCTGTTCCTTCCTGCATTTCTCCCACTCACAGCAGCCAGGATTTATCTCACTCGCACGCCCATATTAAGACTTATATAAGCACGAGAAAATCAATAAAAAAATGTTGCTTCTCTCTGCTGGCTTTCCATCTTAATCATCCCCTCCGTGGTGCACAAACACATTACTAGATCATTATATTGTGGCAGAGCTGATTAATAAATCATTGCTGCATTTTTCTGCTGTTTTCTCCCCTGAAAAGTCTGCCTACAGTTCTTTTTCTGTTTCTGCAGCAGGTTGGCACCCCTGTGTAGAGGCATGGTAGAGGGCATTGTATTCATCAACTCACTACAGCCTCATATAGTCAGAAAGATACGACAGAAGCAGAACTAAAAGAAATACCTCCCTTGGTGAGGAGAAAAGGGTTAAGCCTATTACTGCAGACCAATCAGGACTGGGGGAGCACTGCAAACCTCCGCAGTAAGAGAGAGAGAGGGAGAGAGAGAGGGAATGAGGGAGCAAGGGAGAAGGAGGAGGAGAGCGGAGTGGGAGATCGAGAGTGTGATGGTTTACACTCCTATCCAGTCAGTTAGACAGGCAGCGAGCATAACCAGAGTTGGACAAATTAGGATTATTTACATTAAGTTCTTTATGGATGAAAAAAGAAAATATGGGACATAAAAGGAAAAAAAGAATAATCCCATCAGCTTCCATGCCGGACTTCTCTTTGTGGACTTCTTCTGACTGTGATGAAAAGACTGAATGATTCTTGTAGGTTCATCAAGATTCAGTTTTAAATATTGGAACACTTTCAGAAGGAGGAAGAGAAATACGAGGAACAGCTTGCAAAGTAAATCCACCAAAACTGTTGCAGCCTTGGAGGGAAAGGAGACCGTGTGGTGACCGGACCAGCTCTGGAGCATCTGTGTTTACTCCGCATGGTGAGCTTTGCTGTATTTTGATGGGAACTCACTGGTTTTATTTACGTAAATAATGTGTACATGACAGTCAAGGAAACTTGAAGCTAAACCTTTTTTCTATGATAAATACACAACACTTTAAACTAAAAAGCTTTTTTCCCTATAAACAGATGGTAAATCCATTAGAATTGTACTACTGAAGTACATCCTGTCGCCATTATTTAGAGCATCAGCTGCAAAAATTGTCCTCTAAACATTTGTAGTCCATCTATTTATGCATTAGCATGTGTGTATAAGCTCATTTGTGTCATACAGTCACACTCAGACAGCTGTCAGATGAAGAACTTCATTTTTGCTCATGTCTCTGACATGCAAAATCACACTAACGGCAAAAATTAGTTGAAGCTTGAAGAGAATCTCTCTGAAACAACTTTGATTTAAAAAAAAAAAAGGGTGAAGACATTTCTCAGAAGAAATTACCTGGGTCACATGACACTCAAGAAAGTAACCACATCTTTATAAGTTCCCAGAGGCACCGAGCTGCACTAAAGCTTAAATCGAGTCATAAATAACTTTCATCTGTGCTGTGGCTGTGAAAGGAACACAGGATCATTTATTCTTGGTGCTGTTTTGATTAATACACAGTAATGATTCTGGAAACAGGAGGGTGCGATGTAAAACACTTTACCTTTGTGCAAGCCCCTTCAGAAGAGTTATGATAATTTAGCAGCAAATATGTAAAGTGCAGCAGCGACATGAACACGGTGAGACATCAGAGGCTGGTTTCTATGTTAATGAGAATTTCCTTGTTGTCTTTTTGCTGAGAATATGTTTATATTCAACTCCCACACGTCCCTCTCCTACTCCCTCTGCTCTTTCTCACCACCCATCTCACTCCCTCTGCCCTTCCTCTCTTTTTCTTCAGGTGGCTCTAATCCAAAAATGTGAAGCTGTCACTACAGAAAATGTTGTAAACGACTCCTGCTTCCTGGAGTTGGAATATTCTCTGGACATCTATCAGCTAATCTAAGAGGAAGGCTCTCTGTTTTTATGAAGCAACTACCTGTCGACCTTCATGCAAACTGCTGAATCAAGCCCATCCCTCGGCACATGATATGTCATGGTGCTTGGACACACTTGCAATCACGACATCGCCAGTGATTTAGGAAACGACAACAAACTGGAGATCTGTGCTCGATTTACAAGTTGATGTGGGCTGGAGCCAGCTGAACAGAGACTGATGGAAAAGGTGGAGAGTGAAGGCCTCTTCCATTAGTGCTCCTAGGGGAGACATGGGTCTGTCCGGACGCACTGACCTAGTCTTAACACATTCTGGACATGGCGTACACTGAGGAATCTACTCGGCTGATTGATAGCTCTGTCTTTTGGAGTACACACTAATCGATGGAGATAATATTTTTTACCAACACGTCTCAAACTGATCTTCTCTTCTCAAACAGCAGAAGCACAGATTGGGAGGCTTTATGAGCCATGCATTTCAGTACTGCGCAAGCAAAAAACAGGTTGTGGTCTTCTGTTTTGTTGGTTATTTGTGTCGCTGTTGACTGGGAATATAAAGCAATACTAAACAGGAGAATCCAGCGACAGTCAACCAGTGAGTGGACACAGCATCACCTAGACAGATTAAATCTGAAAAGAAGTGTCTAGATGGATTACGCGCCTATTCTCTAAAGTTTATTAAGCCAAGCTCATCATTTTGGTTTCTTGCCTTTGAGGTCACAAGGAAAAAGCAGGAAACATTTCTTCACTGGTTATTTTGGATGTGATGCTCCTGTTTGTGGATCAAACACGGACTGCAGGCTCTGATTACACAGCCCTGGTGTTCAGCTAGTTCTGGAGGGAAGGGTAAATAAAAAAAATCTGTTGTTTTTCTCTATATAATCTATTACAGTATTTGTCATTGGTATCAGTCATGCATGTGTGTGAAACTTCCTTTCCCCACCCATAATTTATAACTTAATTTTGTATCAAACTTTGGTTTATTCCTTAGACTTGAAGTAATTAAAGTAAAACATATAACTTAAAAGTGCATCTTTAAAGGACTGAAATCAACTGGTAATTTTTAGAATAACATTCTTGCAAATTTTACGCAATGACAATAACAAAATCAAAACTGAATTACTGACAGGCAGCAGTTGGGCTAACAGTTGGCACATGCTGTGGAGTCCTCCCTGTTTTTCTGTTAGTTTAATATCTCATGAAACATTGCACACATTTCAGTGAAACTTTCAAATTAAACTACATGTACATCTACATTTGATCAGTGTTTGCTGTTAACTTGTACAGAGATATTAGCCACACATCACTGTTCTTAGCAAACACAAAAACAACTATACTTCAGTCAGTTTAATGAATATTTAACAAAAATTTGGCGAGGTAGTAGCAGAAAGTCATCCCCATTCAAAGGTGTCGCAACAATTACATGTGAGGGAATGTGTCCCTCTCACATGTAAAAAACCCTCATTTGGATCCCCCATTTACCATGAAATATTAGTTCACCCAGCACTGTTTCTATTCTTCGTGAACAAATCTATTCCACTTGATTAATAGGAAAATACTCAAACCACTAAAAGTCCACTCCAGGTTTTCCTGGTTACCTACAACAACTCACCACCCCGCATGATGTTTCTCCTCAGTCACCTGCGTTGACGGGGCGTATTCTTCTGAGCTTTTTGTCGATGGAGCAGGGGGAGGAGGGGGAGACATCTCTGTGTTGCGCTTTAGCTTAGCGCTATGTCAGTACCGACAGTTGTTCATGGGGGTGGGGGGGTGTTAGGATGTGTGAGCGAGTGCGACAGCTGTAGCATCTTAGCTAGAACGTCTGTATTGCGTGTGTCAGTGTAATGTGTATTATTTGCACTCATCACGATCAATAACTCTCCTGTGAGAACGTTCTACAATGTCCTTCTCCTGCTGATGTTTGTGATGTGTGATATTAACTGTCCCATGTAATCAATCCTACTGTGACCAGTCAGTGAGGAACAGAAAGAACTGGTTGTTTCTGATATCCTCAAGGGCTGATTGATATGATATTGATATGATAGACTTGATATGATATGGTGATGTGTCTCAAGCAGAGTCCTTGACTCAGATCCACTCCTTTGTGTCTGCAGCGGACCTTTCAATGATGGCTCAAACATGGAAGGGAGGAGATGAGGGCTGGGCTGGAGGTTATTCTATAAAACTAGCTTGTCCAGTTCAGGAAGTTAAAGCAGGTCAGGGTTTCACATGGATGAGATCACTGATAACAGTGTAATCCGTCCATGCCACTAGCTTAGTGTTATGTTAGTGCCGGCAATTGTCGACCAGGGTGGGGGTGGAGGGTGGTGGTTAGGATGAGTGAGAGAAGCAGAGCGTGCTCTATTCACACAAGGAGAGCTGTTGGTCAGGCTAGTTCTTGCTGTGTTGTGCTCTCTAAAATACGTAGTTATTGAATTAAGTGTTTACTTGTGTACGTAAACATAGATGTTTAACAACTTGTTAAAATACACCAGAAAGCAGAAAATGGCATCTACTTTATTCAAAATTTTCTGGGGGAGGACCCCCCCCACCCCCCGACTCCCCACCAGTGTGCCCCCCACATCCCAAATGCTTCTGACGCCAGTGTCCCCATTGATCTATACAATGCACAAGGATCTGTGTTATGTTGTTAAAATTATTGACTGAATTTTAAGACTTATTTAATGACTGAATACAAAAAGGTTTTGAGTTAATCTTACAGATATTAAGCTAACATTTAATGTCAGTAGCTACACATGAGTCATTCCCAACACATCACATGAGATCTCTTAATAATTATTTATTTTCAAGATTTGACTAAACAACTCCGTCACTTCTCAACACAAAAAGTTCAGATGAGACACACTCTTTCTAGGAATGCTAAACCTTTAATTATCACTGCACATACTTTTTGCTGTGTCGCTCCTGTAAAATTAACCTGTCAGAAATAATGTTAAACTTTGATGCAATTCTTTTCAAATCATTTCATGTACTGTCTTTTTCTTGCATATATAAAAGTCTCAATAGCTACAACTTGCCACTAAAACCTCACATAACAGATTAAGTTGTTCTGGCTAAATGTATAAATGGATTACATAAAATTGAGAAAACAACAAGAACAAAAACAAAAAGGGGCAAATTGTTTACTAGTGACTGCTGACATGTATACAGTATGACACAACGTGACAAGTAAAGTATAGCAAGAAAATGTGACATTATTCAGTTTAGATTTTTTCTTGCTTTTTAATGACAGCAAATCTGAAAAATCAATCAAATACTTTGAATTACCATTATTTTAGAGATGCACAAAAACAGACTTTTCCACTTCATGAATTCTTCCTTTCTCCTTCCCACTTCCAGGATAATGCATATTATTTCCTGCCCAGAAAAAGAAGCCACCATGAGCAACGTCACGGTCACGGACAACACGGAGCCCATAAGCCACGCCATGAGTCCGGCCACCCCCGGCCCTTATTCCTACCCCGTTAGTTTTCAGGTCTCCCTGACAGGCTTCCTGATGCTGGAGATCGTGCTGGGGATGAGCTCCAACCTCACTGTGCTCGCCCTCTACTGTATGAAGTCGAACCTCATTAGTTCTGTCAGTAACATTGTAACTATGAACCTCCACGTGTTGGATGTGCTGATATGTGTGTGCTGCATCCCTTTTACCATTGTGGTGGTGCTACTCTCTCTGGAAGGAGACACTGCTCTCGTCTGCTGCTTCCACGAAGCTTGCGTCTCTTTTGCTAGCGTTGCCACGGCTGCTAATGTGCTTGCGATCACCCTCGATCGCTATGACATCTCTGTCAAACCAGCGAACCGAGTGTTGACCATGGGCCGAGCTCTGGCCTTGTTGGCTGTCATTTGGGTGCTATCATTTGTGAGTTTCCTTGTACCTTTTATTGAAGTGGGCTTCTTTGCTCATGGCCACACTGAGCTGAACCAGACCGTGGTGGACAATGTGGTTCACACTAACCAGTATTACACAGAGCTCGGCCTCTATTACCATCTGCTGGCTCAGATTCCAATTTTCTTTTTTACTGCCATTGTGATGCTCATCACCTACTCCAAGATCCTGCAGGCGCTCAACATTCGCATTGGCACTCGTTTCCACAATTCACAGAAGAAGAAGGTTCGCAGGAAAAAGCGTCCATCCATGACAGCCATGGCAACGCAGCAAGAGGCCACCGATGCATCACAGAGCAGTGGCAGCCGCAATCCAACCCTGGGCATGCGCACCTCTGTCTCTGTCATCATTGCCCTCCGTAGGGCTGTTAAACGTCACAGAGAGAGACGAGAGCGCCAAAAAAGAGTGTTTAGGATGTCTTTATTGATTGTGTCAACATTCCTGCTGTGCTGGACACCCATTACGGTCCTCAACACCGTCATTCTGAGTACGGGTCCCAGTGACCTAATGGTCAAGTTGAGATTGGGTTTTCTGGTAATGGCCTATGGGACTACTATCTTCCATCCTCTGCTGTATGCCTTCACAAGACAGAAGTTCCAAAAGGTCTTAAAAAGCAAGATGAAGAAGCGAGTGGTGTCGATCATCGAGGCAGACCCTACACCTAATAATGCCATCATTCACAACTCCTGGATTGACCCAAAGAGGAACAAAAAGGTGACATTTGATGATAAAGATGCCCCATTGAAAGGTCTTTCTTCTGGGAATGTGGAGTGAAAGAACTAATTACTTTGAAGAACTACAGACAAAGCAGCTGAAACTGACTTCAGGTCTTCGTGAAAAAGGGAAAATCCTAATCCAAAGTGGTAATAAAAAACATTATGTGCAATAAAATGTACAAAAAATAGAAAATGCATAATTTATTACTATTTATTGAGAGTAAAAAAAGTTTCATAGATGTACCTTATGTTGTACTGTAGATAATGCATGATCTTTTGTAACAGCAGCAACACACGGTACAGTATGTAGATACAAATACATGTCCAGAATAGGCTAAACAAGGTATATACTAAATAGAGACCGAAGTAGGAATTGTCATGTAAACATATATTTATAAGTTCTGTGCTCACTTCCAATATTAGCAAAAGGCTTCCTCTCCTGCCCTTTCTTGAGTACAATGTTTGTGATTCTGTGACAGCCGTGAGATGACTCACATTCATCACGTCGCCACTTTCTTTGACACCAAACTCTCAGTCTCCAGTGACCGCTGACCTTATTGTTTGGAGGTTTGTGAAAGGAAGGCCCTCGCACCTAAATGTGACAATAAATATTAAGGCTCGACAAAGACGGCTGCCGTGCATGGAAAGAGAGAACCAGAAAGGATGATTTGTTTGTTCAGTGAAACAGCTCAGGAAGTACTGTTTAGAGTTCAACACTCACACACACATTCCACAGACACAACAGGACACAGTGCTTCGCATCATTCTAGCTGATATAAACCAGATATAACCAAACCCTGGTCTGCGTTTTTTCTGTTGTTTTCTTTTAACTTTTTTTAATTTGTCTATTTGAACTGAATAAAAAAAAACAAAAAAAAAACACAGCAGTATTTTCATCAAATAATTTGAGGTTAACCATTTGTTGGCAGAAAAACTGCGACAGTTAAGTCTACAAAAAAAAAGTAATATTTTTGAAAGTGAGCAGTGGCATTAGTTTTATTAGGAAAAGTAAAATAAAACTGTTGTGATTTTATTTTCTTAAGAACAAATGACCGACAACAGTGCTTGCAACATAATCACATAAACAGCAAAGAACAACTTAATACGTCTGAACAAGCTGTTTACATTACTCCTTATCAGATAATAAAGATTCACTTCACCGCCTTTGACTGCTAGTGGTGCATGCTGTTTATTGTTTGTCAAGAAAAAATGATTGTATTCCCGATGTAGCTGTAGCTTGTAGATTATAACACAACCAGCTTTGTATGTTTGGTCCATCTTGGTCTGAATCAAAAGGAATAATTTATTTATACAACTGTAAAAAATAAATAAATAAAAATCAGAAAATATCTCCAGATTAAAAAAAAACTTTTATTATTATATTCAGATTAGATGCACTTTAAAGTAATTTAGATCTTTTAAGTAGGGCTTCTGTGAAAGAGCTATGAACAATGAATATCTTACCTGTTGTAGATAGCTCTTAGATCAACCTGTGTTTGACAAAATTAATGCTGACTGGATTAACGAGCTAATGGCTAGTCCAAGTGAGCCATTAATAATGAACTGCTGCCTCAACACAATTCTTATCTAAAAAAAAAAAAAAAAAAAAGGCTTAACAGCAAACAGCATTTTATAAACCTTTACATTACTTTTGTATTTCCTGGGTTTTTCCATTAAATTCCACAGCTGTTTGCAAGAACAAGTATCAGCTGTATAATTTCCAGTACAACCTGGGACACTTCCAGCAGGAATAATATTTCTGCAGGAAAAATAATTTAATACAAAACTGACTGTCGTAAAAAATACTAAAATGGTGTAAACTATGACACTTTTTACATTAATGTTTTATGATGGCAGCACTATTTGGTTTTGATCCTGCTCAGACTAGCCATTCGCTCATCAATTCACTCATCAATTCAGTCATAAATTCTATTTCTTTGAACTGAGGTCACTCACAACCTTTCTACAGTTCCTATCTTCAGATGATCTAAGTCCACCTTTGTCAAACTATGGTACAAGTAACCCCTGATAGTATTCAGGGTCCTCCTAGTATTCAACGGACACATATTTATACAAATATATTTATAAACTATATTTAACTAAAGATAAATGAGCTGTTTTACAAAGTGAAGTATGATGGTTTTCTACTGGAAAAAGATGAACTACTCCCTCTGGGTTGGGGCAAATCTCTGCCTGAATCAGAGGAGTCCAGCTATCTGAGAGTTTTGTTTATGAGTCATGGTCGGATCGAACGGAGGATGAGTTGACAAATCAGAGCCTCGATTGTTGCTTTGTTCTGTAAGGAGCTGAGCTGAAAGGGTGTTTTTTGTTCACAGTCGTGAGGTATGAGACATGATCTAAAGAGCAATATATCCAGTACAAATGGCTGAAATAAGCTTCCTCTGTAGGGTGGTTGGGCTTATACCCAGTTGAGGAACTGCAGCATCTGGAGGGAGTTTGGAGTAGAGTTGTGTATCCATTGCATTGAAAGGAATCAGCTGAGGTGGTTCAAGCATCTACTTTGGATGCTGGGTGCCTACCACTGGAAGTTTTTTTAGGCATATCCCACTGGGAGGAGACTCTGGGGCAGGCCCAGAACTCACTGCAGGGACCGTGTCCTCTCTGACCTGGTAGCACCTTGAGGTCCTCCAGGAGGAGCTGGAGATTGTCGCTGGGCAGAGGGATGTCTGGGTTTTTCTTCTGAACCTGTTGCCTTGACTCTCAATCCAACGTTAGAAAACACGTAGATGAATGGTAAAGTTCAAAAGCAAAGATAGACAAAAAATATGCCATGCATAGAAATTAAGCACTTGGCTCCAAACAGGAACCACTAATAATAACAATACAATAGAGAATATTTGAACAGGATAATTGTGAAATGAGGTGCAAGAGGGGACCTAAACAACACCAGTAAAGTCTGTACAGGACCTGGTAGGTATAAAAGGTGCAAACCACCAAGGAAATCTGATTTGATTGCTCTCAGTTTTGTGTTCGGTTGTTGTGGACAAAACAGAAGGCAAGAAAACTGTATTTGATGCTGTTGGATGGACTGAAACATTACATCTGACACCAGAATTATCTTTGACCAGTTTTCTTGCTTGTGTCATATATGAAAATTATTTTGTAAGCTTGTCGTACTGTTTTTAGGTCCGTCATAATGCTGATCCTTGGAGAGCTCTGTATTTCCTAAGGTGGCACTTGCTATGAAAATGTTGAGGACCACTGACCTAAGCTATCCCTTTAACATCAAATCTAGATGCAGAGTTACAAACTCCATTTTCATGTGAAGCCACACTTAGCTGGGATGTACTTCATTGAAATCCCCAGGTCACTGATTACATTCTATCTCTGAAGTGTATACACACAGTGCTTTCCTTTGCATACATATCAATGTACTCACCATCTCCACTTGATATTCCAGTAATGAACCTATAACATGTATGCCTTTGCTGTCTCACATATGGTAGAAAGCTGAAGAGCCCTTTAAATCCAGATTGCACTAAGCCATTGGCTGCCAGAGTGATTGCAAAACCTCCATCAAATAGTTCTCCTGCTGTCTGTGTCTGGTTTGCAGCACAGCAGATAAAAATGATATGGGCATTTTTATGCAGGCGGGGTTCCTCTTGGCCCTGCTTTAAACAGGGAGCGATGATGTTACGGTGCCTGGAGGGTACATCTGATGGAGAGCTGAGATGGGATCACAGCCAGCAACAGATTGGATGATAGGCCAAAAAAATTGACCTATAAAGATGACATATTTAACATAAATATGGAAACATACAGTACTAAATTAAATTAACAAGCATAAAATAAACAGCACAGCATTAAACAAACAAATTATACATCCTAATTTTCTTTTAATTTCTAATAGTAATTTTGACCAACATAAATTGATTGTTAGACACAATCCCTTTTCATTAATAACCTTCCAAAATTAACTCTGAAGGACAGTTAAAATTATGACTAACTAAATTATGAGGTCATGGTTTGTCCTCCGTCAGATGCTGTAGTTAAAGCAAAAGATCTTTTAACTGTGTCCATTCTTGTGACTGAGAAGAAAAATCCATTTGTTGAACTGTTTTCTATTTATTGGTTTTGCCATAACAAATAAAGCCTAAGAAACCAGGTAAAATCAGTGTTAACTTGCAAACTTCTCAAAGTGGTGCTTGTTGCCATTTTTCTTGTTGAGTAATGTGGTCGTCCTCTGATCGGAGGGTTGAGGCGTTGACCCCTAGCTGCTGCATTGTCCCTAAGTGTTCTTGAGCAAGACACTGTAACCCCACTGCCCACCAATGTGCTTATTGGTGTCTGAGTAAAAACATTTTAAAAAGTGTTGGATGAATGCTCAATGGACTGTACTTATATATCACATTTCTGTCTTATCAAGACACAAAACGCTTTACGCTACATTCTGTGTCCTCATTTACCAATTTATACAGCACTCTAGATCTCTACAAAGCTAATTGAACAAATCATTCTAAAGAGAATAATCAGAGCTTTATCACATTCATACAGCGATGAGACACACATAAGAGGCTGTGAGGGGTTCAGTGTCATGCCCAGGGACACTTGGACATGTGACTGCTGGTGAAATCGAACCCCCGACTCTTGCATTGGAGGACGACTGCTCTAACCACTCAGCCACAGCCGCGCCCGGAGAATAAAAGTGTATGTATGTATGTATATATGTATGCTGCCTACTATAAATACATGTACACATGTATTTATAGTAGGCAGCATGGTGGCATAACTGGCAGACTCTCAGCAGTTCTCTCTGTGCATGTGTGGGTTTTCTCCAGGTACTCCAGTTTCCTCCCACAGACCAAAAACATGTGTGTTAGGCTGATTGGTAACTCTAAATTGTCTCTAGGTGTGAGTGAGAGCGGATGGTTGTTTGTCTCATTTGTCTCTGTGTGTCTTTGTGATGGACTGGAGACCTATGTCCCCTTCCTCTCACACAGTGATGGCTGGACATGGGCACCAGTGACCCCTGCAA